CTCTACGTGTGAGACAAGAATGCGCGTGCACACACATTTTCCTAAAAAAGAGCACTGAGGTGATTCAAACCTGGACCGATAATGATAACACGCCTAATGCACCCACTCTTAAGCCATGAAGCTATCTTGACACTTACATGAATATGTAAAATAAAATAACCTTTTATTTATTATTGTCGAAAGGCAATCCAAATACATACTAAATATTTATGTTTAACAACTCCAACTAAGAATTAAAAAAATAATATTCACAATTAGAATTTTATAAAATGATGGAATAAATAATATATCAAATTCACATTTGTTTCAAAAGATAATTTCAATTTCAAGAAATTTATACAAATATAATATTAATAATAGAATAAATATTTTAATACTTAAAATTTAAATTTGCACATGACTTAGTCTACTAATATACATCCGTATCAAAAAAATATTTTTAACTTTAGAAACTTTATAGAAATAAAAATATTAAAAATAGAATAATTATTTTAGTACTTAAAAAAATTTATAAATTTGCACAAAATATGTATTTTAAAATTTTATATATTTTTTAAATTATTAATCAATATTTTAATTTACATTAAATTACAACATATTTATTATTTACAAAAATAAAAATTGTTTACAAAATATTCAAAAATATAATATTAAATTGAATATATCAAATCTACTAATCTACTAATCTACATTTAAGTACTATTCCTATGGCCCCATCAAAATTCAATTTCAACATACCTAGAGAAGGGTGCACCTACGTAGTAGTGTACGACACCACTGGCTGATGAGTTTGCAACTATACCTCCAATTCATTAGTAATGGAAACATGAGGCAAGTACTATTCCGGGGATGTTTGGTTCTGTTGGCGTTTATTGAAAAAAATGCCGTCACATTAGTGTCATATGGGCGTTTGTGTTTATTGAGCATGAAACCACTGTTTGGTTTTACTATTTATCAAATAAACATTAAAAAGCCTAAATGCCTGAATTTATGTGCATGAGGCATTTAGGGAAACGTTAAATTCTTGTTTCCCCCAACACCTAGGAATTTCTTGAAATGAAATGCTTATGTGGCATACTTTATGGGGTGCTAATTTAAGTTGTAAAGTAAAAAAAAAAAAAAAAAAACGTTTAAAGTTATGCTCAACCAAACAATAAAGGGAAATTGTCTAAAACTCACCATGAGTTTTTAACATTTCCCTTAAAGTCACCACAACTTTTCAAAATGTCTAAAACTCACCTTGTCAATAAGTTTTTATTTTCCAAAACTCACCTTCCATTATGCACCGTTAATGCTTCTTAACAGAGGTGTCCATGTCAGCATAAATAACAATTTTCATGACCAAATTACCCTTGAATGGCAAGTTAGAGGAAAAATGGTCTTTTTCAGTTTTCAATTTTCTTATTTTTTTTTGCATTTTTAGTGTTTTGTTATAATTTCCAATGTTTTTTATAATTTCTGTTTTCTTTTACATTTTCAATTTTCTACAATCTATAAATTTTCCTGTATTTTTTGTTATTTATTTATAATTTCTGTGTTTTTCTATAATTTTTGGTGCTTTTTCTACAAATTTTATTTTCTGATTTTGTTTTTCAATTTCTCTAGTTTCTATAATTTGAAAATAATTTTTATTTTGTTTGCAATTTCTAATTTTTTTTATATTTTTTGTAATTTCTATGTTTTTATGTATTTTATATTTGAAAATATTTTTTAAACTTTTTCCTTTTTTTCATGTCTAAATATTAAAATGGTAATATATTAACACCCATTAATTTATTTTGTATATATTTTATATTTTTCTGTGAAGGTTAAAATGGTAATATATTAACACCCGTTAATCTGTTTAACATCAAATTAGTGACATGGTGAATTTTAGACATTTTGAACATTTGTGGTGAGTTTAAGAGAAATGTTTAAAACTCATGGTAAGTTTTAGACAATTTCCCAACAATAAAAACAAGAAACGTTTAAAGTAAAATTGTTAAAATAAATATTTAAAGCAATAAACACCCACAGAATCAAACATATACCTAATTTTTTAGACATTCCATATTAGAATTGCCCACCTAGCAAAGAACGATAAACAAGAAGATTGTGTAATATCATCTATCTGAGCCCAAATATCTAACCTATCAAGCAATGAAATAGCTTCACCAGAATCCACCCGAACACCTAGAGCACCAAACCAGACAGCTCGTGATACATCACAATCAATAAATAGATGTTGTAATGTTTCATCTTGAGAATTACAAAGTGGACAAAAAGCTGCAATCTCAAGAGACTTTGCAACCAACGAAATGGAAGCATATTATGTAGACAGCGCCAAAGAAACAACAATACAAGGGATGACAACCGTTTAATTCTCCAAAATACCTTCCATGTAATTTATGATATCATACCAGTTGATTGGTTATATAAATTTATTTATATTATACTTTTCCATGGTCAATAATGTTTAGTGATTGAAGGACTGGATTTTAAATTGGTGGATTTTTTTTTTCTTTTTGGGGGAGGGGGGTGTTCAGATCTTTTATGTAGTTTTTCCAACAAGAACACTTTCAGGTGGCAATCTATAATAGATGTGCCAATATTACAAATGTGTAAATATAATGAAAATGGCTTTACATGTAATGGGAAATTGCATTATTAGGGTCGTGTACCCGGCCTCTCGACCTTATTGTGTTGGGGAAGCGGATGGAGATTGCTTTAGCAAAGGTAAGAAAGGGGATAGAGATTAATAAGAATTCCCAATTGGGGATGGGTCATGCATGGGGAGTGTAGTTTTCACCCTGCCTCGACCCTAATTAGATATTAAATATTATATTATATATATATATATATATATATCAAAATAAATTTAAAATATTATTTATATTTTAAAGTTTTCCTTTATTTTACATAAATTAATTTTCCAAGCAATAATTTTAATTAAAAAAATTTGAGGATTTGGGTTCTTGTAGGGAGCCCATCTTTGTCGAGGATCAAGGATGGAGGGTGGCTTTTATCATTGGTGGGAATTAGAGTCGGGAGTGGAGAATATGATCCCTGTTCCGAACCCGCCCCATTGCCATTCCTAACTACAACAAACTATACAAACCAACTAGCCAGTATGGTACCTTGCAAATTATATTTTCTCAAAGTGATTGTTAAGGCTATGTTTGGTTTGAAGGAAAAGGAAGGGAAAAATACAAAAATTTTTACAAACCCTTGTATTGATTTTCCTGTCTTTCTCTTCCTTTCTCTACCTTTTCCTTTAAACCAAACATAGCCTAAGGGCATTACTTTTAGAAAATATGGGATGCACGCCAATCACTCCCATTTAATGTCATTTGGCAAAATCTATGTTGTATGAAGTGCACCACAGCACCATGAAAGGTATGTAAAAAAAAAAAAAGGATAAAATACACAAAACCTCCCTTGAAGTATCTGATAATCATAAAAATCTCTCATATAATTTTATTTTAGCAAATACCTCCCTTGAATTTTTAAAAAACTCGATAAAAACCTCTCTTCCTCACCTTCCCATACAGAAAATATTAGACTGATGCACCATTTTTTCTTCAAATACCCAATCCTTTTATAAACTATTTTACATGTAAAATTATTAAAATAACCTTATTTTAATTCGATAAAAATGTTAAAAGATGAGGGTTAAAGGAGGTTTTTGTCAAATTAAAGTAAAACAATTTATAAAAATGATAAAATAGACATTTGAAAAAAAAACACGGTGAAACAGTCAGACAATTTCCATTTGGGAAAGTAAGGGAAGGGAAGGGAAGAATGGTTTAATATTTTATCCAATTAAAAAATAATAGAATTTGGAGACCTAAGAAACGTCAAACAATGTGATATGTGACACACAGCTTAGGATAGTCTAACAGATTAACATCTGACCCGTTCCTTGACAATCCCTGTGAAAGAGGAGGTGGGCGCGCATGCCGCATGTGGCTTAAGGTGCCTGCACGTACGAACCATTCAGTGTCAGAATTAGAATTACTGTGTAACGTGGTGTTGGATAGGTAGTACACTATCCAGTACAATCAACAAGTACAAATGTTGTCTAGCTTGGTAAATTCTCTGATTTCTTTTTCTTTTGTGAGAAGCAAATTCCGAATATAATACCCTGTGAACACAAATGAATACACCAAAGTAGACATCTAGAAGCAACATCAAATGAATTTGTATCCCACTTCCACGTTCCACCTGAGACACCCACGTGACAAAAATCAGCATCATTCAACTGAACTCGATTGTTTTGGATTTCACTCTGTTTCTCTGGATGCTATATAAATCCCAATATAATTTAAAGAATTTGTGATAAAAATCGCCTCCTCACACACTTTATGATGAAAAACTTACAGTAATGAGCAGCAGTATATATATATATATATATATATTCTATGATCGATATAGAAGTAAGTTACCAGTCCAGGTCTGATGCGGAGGGAGAAGTTTTAATCTTTTCTTCCTTTTTCCCTTTTTGTGTGTACTACTTACTTACTATGTAGAAATTGGCAGTACAAGGGAATACAATTCAACATTCAAAGGGAGCAACCATGTCAATACATTTGAATGTACTTCCTCTATCTTCTTCTTCTTCTAAGCTGTTTGCCCTATAATAACTAAGTTGGGGAATGGGGATAGGGAGTTCATGGGGATTCCAAACAGAGAGAAACAGGCTTTGGAGTTTGAACGCACCCAAGATCGGAAAAGCATCATTGAGTGCAGCGTTGATGAATTCCAATTTCCAATCACCACTGTTGTAATTTTGCTCTTGTAAAGAAATGTGAGTTGATTTCGTCCGCGCTGCACTCAATTATGTTTTTAATCTTTCTGGGGCAGGTTGAGTCGCTTGCAAATACAAATACAAGGTTCCAACCGTCAACAGGTTGCTCTTATATATTATTATATGCGGTAATTCTTTTATAGGGAAAGAAGTTGTTTGTTCAAAATTCAGTTACTTGTCTCAGCTAGAGTAATCGATAACACCAAATTTGCATATATAGCTCTGATGTCATCGATGAATGAAAGGAGAGGGCTTCTCTTATTTCTTCTTACAACCCAACCCAAAAGCTGGATTGTGTTGCAGCAAGGCAGCCGAGGCCCAAGGTGGATTCTAATAAACAGAGGATTCAAATTGAAAGCGGCGAAGAAGGATCACAACCTTCAACACAGAGTCCATTCACCATTTTAAATGCATATAATGCTGGTAGAGATATTTTGTGAGGTAATTTATATTCCACCTCAAGCCAAACGTTATAATTAAGTCCTTTTGCCTTCTTTTTTTTCCAAAGATATAACTTTTTTTTTTGGGTAAAAAAGAATACCCTTGATCGGGAGGGGGTTCAGGTTGAATGGTAGCAGGACGGAAGCTGAGGGGGAGATCACGGAAATGTTTCGAACCGTTTACGTTTATTGCAAAAACGGCACCACATCAGCATCTGGGAAGATAAACGTTTTTTGGCTCAAAAATTACTGTTTAGTGCAAGGTAAACGTTTATCCATTTATTTGCATTGGTTTTCGTGCATATAGCCATTGGGGAAAATGAGAATATCTCGCTTTCCCCAACGGCTGGGCGTTGCTGAAGTGGATCCGATGTGGGTGCTGATGTGTTTGTCTAGCGGTGTTGATCTGGTGCAACCCGGATCTACCATTCTAAAGGTGGATCTTTTTCCTCACTCGATAACCTAAAGCATTAAAGATAGATCTTCTTCCTCACTCTTTCGCTGCCTCAGAATAGAACACCCGGATCTACCAGTCCAGCGACGACCGGAGAGAGGTTTCTTGAGCGGAGGGAGGAGCAGCAGCCGCCAGTAAGAAAGTCTTCGCTTTCTCCCTATTTTGTCTCTGACTTCTCTTTGTTTTCCCTCTTCTCCTAACATTCAACAATATCTCTATTTTCTTTGAAGGTTTTAGAGAGTGTTGCCGCATCTAAAGGTTTTAGAGAGAGAGGGAGAGAGTGTTTCTCGCCGCCGTATGTTCTCTGAGTGTTGCCGCATCTATTTTCGTCAATTATTTTTTATACTTTTCTTCAGTCTTCAACATACCAGCTTGAGTATTATTTCTTTCTACAAATTCCTGTTCAAGACCCAAAATATATTATTATATGTTGAGACTTGAGGGACCTAATTGAATTCCTGTAATTTGTATATACCTTCCACCTGAACAGCCAGTGTTGACAAACAATCTAGTGGCACCGTGCTTTCTCCATTTTCTCGGCCAGCATTGTTGCACATTTGGTAGGATGGAGCATGATGAATGCTTCTCCAAAGGCGGGGGAGAATGTCGCTTGTGGCTCCTTTATACCGTCATCTCTTCCGGCCACCTCTTTTTTTTTCAGATAAAAAAGGCCATCAAAATGCTTCTCCCGGTACTTGATGGTGCGCGATCTAGCTATTCCTAGTTGGAAGGTAATCTGAATTCTAATTGGGCGGCATGTTAGACAGTTCTGCAAAACAGTGGATCAGAGAACCCGGTAAGGTCACTCGGATGCTTAAGTCAGTACTTTATACTGTAAATACGAGCTGAATGCTTGAGAACTTGAATGCTAGTGAGTAGAATAATCACGCATACCTTTTGCCTTGAGGTTTCATGTCTTTATATATTGGAGTAGTCGTGGACCTTATGAAAGAGCTCCGGGATCTCTGGGCTGTGGAGATGAGGTTTGTTCCGTTTTTTAAGGGGAGTAATATATTGATAAGGTTTATTGTTTACCTCCAATTCAAGCGGAGCCGGGACGAATTCTCATCGTGATCTTGGGAAATTTGGGATCTATTGGCTCATCATGATCTCGAGAAATTCGGGATCTGTTGGGGAGGCCTTTAGAGTCGGTTAAGTGGCATTTCGGCTCATTAGCTCCGAGTTGACACTTCGATTCTTTAGTCCCGAACTGGATTGGGTGTCGAAGTGCCTCTACACCGAGGTGGTTTTTTGGGCCGAGGTGGCTGAATACCCAAATTCTGAAGGTTGCGAACTAGGTTTGCTTGGCTGAGTTGTCACCCTTCGATTAGATCGCGCCTACGTGTCCCCTTCTTGCTAGGTCGTGCTAAATCACCCTTCATTAATTTCCCCCCACTCCTCGTGCCAGGGGTCCTAACCCGGTGTGGGGAGTTCATGAAGAGTCCAGGTGGATTTGGTACGAGGTTTAGTCAATTTGGAGGGCGAACTGTTGGTCGGGCCTGTTCAACCATCTGGCTCAACCCGAAATGACCCAGGTCGCATCTCGAGCATGCGTGGACATCACACTATTTATAGATTTCGCAGACGCCAAAGGGCGTGCTCAACCGATTTCGTCCTCGGGTAGCATGCAGCCGGTTTTCATGGGAGCCGTCGGATCATACAGATCTCAATCGTTGATTGCTGGATGTGGTGGACTATAAAAAGGGGGCCGAAGGGCTCAATATCTTTATCATAAATCATGTAATTGAGCTCTCCTGAGATCGCGTCGGAGTCCTTCAACTCGCCACTCTTCCCTTTGTGTTTGAGGTCGTTATCGTCCTTTTGGTGAGTTTGTCTTCTTTCATTAGTTGTTCCCCTTTCCTTTTCCTATCCAATATGTCTAGTGCTAACATAGATAGGCTACTTAGCGATTCTAGTGAGTCCGAGGGTGTCGAGGTGCGGTCCTCGGCTCCCGCCGGTGAGACCAGCTATTCGCTAGAGAGCTCCTCTTTACACCTTTTAGGGGAAACACCTTTACCCGATGTCGGGCCATCTCCGCCTGAGGAACCTGAACCTCGGGTAGAGCGACCGATCTCCGGAAAGGGGGTACCATCTTCTTCTCGAGGTTGGGATCCGAATGACTTTGGCCCTTCCACGATGACCTCGGACAGAATGTTGTCCTTGGTAGCCCATTACCGTCTTCCCGACGCCCTTACCTTCAGTATTCCTTTGGGTCAATACCCTTGGGTTCACGGTCACCATGAGCTCACGGTTTTTGAGGAGCAGCTCGTAGCTGGGTTAAGCTTCCCACTCCACCCTTTCATCATAGAAATCATTAAGTTCTTCAACATCACCATTGACCAGTTACACCTGAACTCCATCCAAACCATTGTTGGCACAATCTCACTTTTCCATGAGTATAATCGACCTCTTACCCTAGACATCTTTAGTTCGATTTGGCCCATCAAGAAGAACTCTTCTTGCCTGCGCGGGGGACACCCGGTAGAGCTATTATATTTCCCCTAGCCTTGGGTTCAAAGTTCTGTTCGGTAACCCGAACAAACTACCGACCTGGAAGGGGAGGTACTTCTTTGTTCAGAGTCCTAAGGGATGGCCATTCCCGAATCACTGGCGAGTGGCCATTAAGGACCCCGGAGTGAGGTTGGATGCTGAGACTAAGGTGGTCATTAATTCTTGGAGGGACCTCAGCCTTGAAATGAAAGATTTCTTGGCTGAGGAAAAGCTTGTATGAGCTGGGCTGAGTCCTCCTAGTAGGCCTCCACCTCAACACACACATCGCTTTTTCCTTTTTTATTTTTGCACTTACTTCGGTTCGTGACTAACTTTTTTTCCTTTTCTCTTGAAGAACCTATGCCAAGTGTTGATGCAACTAACCTTCTACGGAGTGTTCAAAGGGGAAAGAAGAGAAAGGCCTCAAAGAGGTCCCATTGGGAGGAGGTCGGTCCTTCGGTTCCGGCCCAACCCGAGGTCCCTGCGCCAGAGCCGATCTCGACTGAGCTCCCGAAGGAGGAGGTTCGCCCCCAGTCTCTAGTTGTTGACCTGGATGAGGACCAGGACGAAGGGACCCCACCTCGCGAGCCCGAGTGTACTTCGGTGCCCGAGCCTCATCCCTTGAAGGAGAGCATAATGACTCCGCGGCTCGGGTTTCTTAAGAGTAAGGATGTCGTGTTTCCTGTGGAGGTCGCGGAATGGGCTGACATGCCAATGAGTCAACTTGGAGGAAGAGCAGCTAGTTACTGTATGGTGATGAGTAACCTGCCCCTTTGTTTACTTTTCTATTCTTCTGTTAATGGTACTTACGTTTGCTTTTTATTTGCCAGGTGAACTCCGCTATCCATTCACTCGTCTACCAATCTGAGATCCATTTGAAGCAAGCTCGAGAGGCCGAAGAAAATGCTCGGAAACTTTACCGCGAGATGGATTTAGCTCGGGTGATGTTCTTCGAGCCAAGAAGGGAGCTCGGAGCTAGGAGGAGGTGATCCTTGTACTGACGGAGGAGAAGAAGAAACTCAAAGGGAAGAAGGAGGCTTTCCTTTGGGAGAACGAGAACCTCGAGGCGATGATCAAGGAGCGCACCGAGATCTTCAACACCACCATCCAGGAGGCGCGGGTTCAAGAGAGAGATCGCACCGTCGAGGAGTTCAAGGAGTCCCCTAAGTTTTACGAACTTCAGGTCGAGTATGGATCTAACTCATACCGGTCAGGCTTCAAGCTTTGCAAGTGGCTAATGTGGCGGAAGTTTCCCGAGCTCGACTTCGGATTTATTTCCATGTCCACCGTCACTCCTAAGATGGCGAAGGAGGCTGACAAGGAACCCGACTCCTCCGAAGGGGAGAGTGATGGTGAAATTCTCGAGGCGAGGCCGTCAGGGGAGGCAGGCCGAGAGGACGTGGAGGAGGACCACATGGAAACCGACCTACCTGCTGGAGGGGATTCTGGCAGATCTAATGCTTAGTCGTGCCTCTTTTCTTGGACCCCCCTACATACAATGTATATCCCAGGCCTCCGAGTTCGGTTGTAGTTGTTTTTTTTTTTTGTACTTGAAGTTCTATATCAATGAAATACCAAGTGTTTTACAATCTTTGTGTGCAAATTTTTCTAAGTGTAGATTACTCCCGAGCTGGCGAGCTAAACCAAATAGGAGTGAACTTTTTTCTAAGTATAGGTTGTTCTCGAACTGGTGAGTTAAACCAATTTGGAGTGAACTTTTTTCTAAGTATAGGTTGTTGTCGAGCTGGTGGGCTCGACACTAGTAGGAATGATCTAATTGCCATTGTATGCTAGGGCGATCAAACACTATAGGGTACATATCCAATCTGTCTATGCCTTAGTCACTTATTTGCCTAAGTGTTGGTTATCCCTAAGTGTCGAGCTAATGAGGTTGACTCCATGTGAGACTAACCTTACGTTGTTGTACGCCAAGGTGAATTAGACACCGTAGGGTTTGCACCCAAGTTGTCTATGCCTCATAGACGACTAAGACTAGGACTTGTCTGCTCATAACGAAGAGGCGACTAGGACGTGTCCACCTATGTTGAAGAAGCGACTAGGACTTGTCCACCTATGCAAAAGAGGCGACTAGGACTTGTCTACCTATGCCAAAGAGGCGACTAGGACTTGTCTGCCTATGCAGAAGAGGCAACAAAGACTTGTCATAGTGCCGAAGTCTTCTATTAGCTCGGCGCCATAGCCCTTAGGCTTCCGGGAGTGACTCGCAGTCCTCTCTCAAGTTAGTCGTTGTTTTCGACCAGTTCGGTGGTCACATAGATTTGAAGAAATTTTGCCTTTGAGTTACAAGTTCATAAGTAGTACCTTCTTAGTTATCGATATTCCATGCTCGTGGTACTTGCTTCCCTTCCAAAGTCTCGAGCTCATGTGCTTTCCCTAAATACCCACTTTACTCAGTATGGACCTTCTCAATTCGGTCCGAACTTGCCAATGCTGGGTTCAAGTACCATAACTTTTCAAAGAACCAGGTTGTCGATGCGGAAGTGTCATTTTCTGACCCGGGCGTTATAGTACCGAGCTATTCTTTGTTGGTAAGTTGTGGTCCGAATGTAAGCCAGGTCTTGTACCTCCTCTACCAGGTCTAGGTTGGTACAAAGCTTGTCATCATTCGTCTCCTCATTATAAGTCTCTAATCCTAATGTGGGTACCTCTATTTCCATTGGGATCACCACTTCTGTACCATACGTGAGGTTGAAAGGGGTCTCACCCGCCACGGTCTTAATAGTAGTTTGGTAGGCCCAAAGGACACTAGGCAGTTCGTCCACCCACAATCCCTTGGCTCAAGCTAAGCAAGCTTTCAATCCGTGAAGTATTGCTCTGTTAGTCACTTCTGCTTGCCCGTTCGTCTGGGGGTGTGTCGTGCCACCGAGGTAAAATTTTGTTGAATCCCCATTTTGGCGCACAACTTTTGAAACTTAATATCTTCGAACTGCTTTCCATTGTCGAATATCAGCACTCAAGGTAGTCCAAAGTGACAAACTATGTTTTTCTAGAAGAAATTCTGTATGTTGTGGGTTGTGATCGCTAAGGGTTCGGCTTTCACCCACCTCATAAAGTAATCTACTGCTACAACCAAGAACCTCCTTTGCCCTGTTGCTGGCGGGAAGGGGCCAAAGATGTTGATTCCCCACTGCGCAAAGGGTCACGGGCAAGTGAGGTATTTCAAATCAACAGCAGGTTGATGGTGAATGTTGGCATGCCTCTGACACCTGTCACACTTTTAGACGAGCTCGAATGCATTTGCCTTCATCGTGGGCCAATAATAGCCTTGCCTTAACACTTTCTGTGCGAGAGCTCTGCCCCCCAAGTGTCCGCCGCACAAGCCTTCATGGGTGTCGCGAAGTACATGCTTAGCTTCTGAGGATCGTAAGCAGTGCAGGTAAGGGAGCGTGAAAGATCTTCGTACAACTATCCGTCTATAAGGACGTACTTAGCTAACGGGCGCTCTACCCTTCGGGTCGCGTTGCATTCTGCAGGTAGGGTCTCATGGAGCAGATAATTTACGAGTAGGTCGATCCAGCTTGGTTCCGCTTGTGATACAGGAGCTACCTCTTCTGCCCCCCCCCCCCTGAGAATGTTGGGCCGAGGTAAGTCCTCTATGTACACAGTTCGCATGGTGTTGTTGCTCGTGCTAGCTAGTCACGACAAGGCATCAGACTCAGCGTTCTCGGACCTCAGAATTTGTTCGATAAAGCAGGAGACGAAGCTGTGCAGGATCTCTCTGACTTTAGCCAAGTAAGCTGCCATTGTGAGGTCACAGGCTTTGTACTCACCAATGACTTGGTTAACCACTAGTTGTGAGTCGCTGCATACGATGAGGTGCTTTGCTTTCATTTCCCTTGCTAAGGTTAACCAAGTGACTAGTGCTTCATATTCTGCCTCATTGTTCGATGCCTCGAATCCGAACCGAAGAGCACATTTCATCTTCACTTCGCTTGGGCCGTACAGTATCAGTCCTGCACTACTTCGCTGCTGGTTGGATGAACCGTCGACATGGAGGATCCAAGGCTCCTCGTCCCAGGTCGGTTCCACTCTGACTGGGATTGGCGCCGCTTTGGTTGAAGCTCCCATCGTGTGAGCGAGCTCGGTCAGTTCGGGGGTCGCTGTGCTGAATGTGCATTCTGCTACAAAATCGGCCAAGACTTGAGCTTTGATTGCTGGCCGAGGCTCATACCAGATATCGTATTTGCTCAGCTTGATGGACCACTTCGTTAATCTCCCAGACACCTCGGGCTTGAGCAGAATTTGCCTCAGGGGTTTGTTGGTGAGAACAACGATAGTGCGGGCCTGGAAGTACGGGCGAAGTTTTTGGGCTGCTATGATTAGTGCGTATGCTAATTTCTCGATCTCCGGATTAGTTTCTACATCCTACAAAATTTTGCTAACATAGTAAATGGGTCGTTGGACCCGATCTACTTCTTTGATCAGTACCGAACTAACCACTTCGTCGCTCGTAGAGAGGTATAGCTTTAACACATCCCTTCTTCGGGTAGAGTTAAAACTGGGGCGGTACCTAAGTATCTCTTCAGCTCGTCAAAAGCGAGCTGGCATTCTTCAGTCCATTCTAAGTCCTTACTCTTTTTTATGGCTTAAAAAAAGGGTAGGCATCAGTCTGCCGATTTGGACATGAAGCGCCTTAGGGCGGCTATCCGGCCAGTCAGCCTTTGAACCTCTTTTATTTTTTGGAGTGGTCTCATGTCTAGAATCGCTTTTATTTTGTCCGTGTTGGCATCGATGCCACGTCGGTTGACTATATACCCTAGAAATTTACCCAAAGTGACTCCAAAGACGCATTTATTCGGGTTCAACTTAATGTTATATCTTCATAAAATTTGAAAAACATCTTTTAAATCATTCAACAAAGAATTTGAAAACTGGGTCTTCACAACCATGTCATCAACATAGCATTCTACTTTATTGCCAATTAACGACTCAAAAATCTTATTTACAAGGTGTTGGAATGTTGCCCCAGCAGTTTTTAATCCAAAGGGCATGACCTTGTAATAGTATAACCCGAGCTCAGTTATGAAGGCAGTCTTCTCTTCGTCAACACGATCCATCCTAATCTGGTTGTAACCGGAATAGGCATTCATGAAGCTCAGCAACTCATGACCTAAGGTTGCGTCCACTATGCGGTCAATCTTGGGTAGCGAGAAGCAATCTTTCGGGAAGGCTCTATTCAGGTCAGTGTATTGACGCACATGCACCACTTGCCATTGCCTTTTTTCACCGGAACCGGGTTAGCCACCCAGCTCGGGTAATGGACTTCCCTGATGAAGTCTGCCGCGAGGAGCTTCCCAACCTCTTCAACGAATACCCTCCAGCGTTCCGGGGCAAGGTTGTGCTTCTTCTGCCTTACTAGCCTGACTAAAGGGTCGGTATCAAGTTTGTGAGTTACAATTTTAGGATCAATTTTAGGCATTTCTGTCGCAGATCAAGCAAAAATATCTAAATTTTCAAGTAAAAAACTTACTAGCTGAGTTCGAAATGGTTCGCTAATCGAGGCACCGATCTGGAGAGTCTTGCCTGGTTCGGCGGCAAAGACAAGTATATGGATCGTCTCCTCTTTTGGGGCAGCTCGTTCGTCAGGATACTCTATTGGTCGCTCGAGCTCGACATCCTCTACTAGCTTTGCTTTTCCTTTCAAAGCAGCCACGTAGCACTTGCGAGATTAGAGTTGGTCATCTCGCACTACTCCCACTTCATAATCAGTTGGAAATTTCATCGCTAAATAGTAAGTGGATACTATCGCACGCAAAACATGCGTGATAGGCCAACCTACTATGGCATTGTAGGGGGAGGGAGTAGCGACTACCAAGAACGTGTGCTCGAATTGCACGATATTTGGTCTCCCTCACCGCTAAACCCTATCAATGATGTATCCGCCGGTTTCAGGTCACTTTGTTGTAAATGTAGTTTGTCGAAGGTCTCCTTGAAGAGTATATCTACTGAGTTGTCTAAGTCCACCAAGATGTGCTTTACCTCGAAGTCATTAATTCTTACCTTCACCACTAGGGCATCATCGTGAGGGTACTGGATCCCGCGCGCATCGTCTTCGGTGAAGTATATTGGTTCTTCGAGCCGAGGTCTCTTTGGCAGGTTCTTCCCTTCATTCTCTAACTCGCGGACCGATGTCCTCCCGGCTACTGATGTACATCTAGCGATGATGGACCTGCTAGTGATCATGTTAATTACCCCACGAATCGGTCTTTCCTCTGACAATTGTCGCGGTGGTTGCTCATTCTACCTATTGACCTTGGGGCCACTCCTCCTCTAGTCCCCCTGTTGATCTATTTGTCCCCTCTCTTCTCGCAAAATGAAGTTCTTCAGGTATCCACGACGGATAAGTCCCTCAATCTCGTCGCAAAGATTCCTGCAATTCTCTATGTTGTGTCCATGATCTCAATGGAAATGGCAGTAAACATTTGGGTTTCTTGTTGTTGGGTCTCCCCTTAGCTTGGGAGGCCATTTGACGAAGGAGGAGTCCTTAATAGCCATTAAGATCTCTCCTCTCTTAGCATTCAAAGGC